GGGGGGGGAAGCAAAGCAAGAAGGGGCTTAAAGTTTAAACTCCTTCTCTCTGGAGTCGCGCCACCGCTCCGTTGTATTCTATGGCCCATCCGGTGATGTCAGGGGGTGTGGCATATGCTAATGAGCTATTATACGAATAGCCTATTAGATATGCTAATGAGCTCCTGCCGCTCTTTTTCTACAAAATGACCCCTGGATATAATATAATGGGAGGAGTGTTACCTCCCGTTATGGTGGACAAGGGAGCGGACATGAGCTGAATGCATTCTCAAATCAGTTGTAAGATAATTCAAGCAGGAATTTCTGTCACAGAAACAAGGCACAATCATTTATGGCTCCTTAGTGACATTCCTGTGATATTAATGGGATAATACACAAAATTTTGCTGGTTTTAGGAGATGCAGGAAAAGGTCTTTTGATAGGCTGAGGTAGGGAAGCCATACATCATAATGAGGGATTTCAGTTTTCTCTTGGAATTTATTTTGGGGATAAAGGATCTTTATCAAAAAGCCTGCTCTTTGATTTGATAGTTTTTCCATTTTATACACTGCATGTCCCTTATTCACTCATGTTATTTGCTCTGGCTTTAGGACATGTGGAACAAGTTACTGAATAAGCCATATACATTACAACTCTCTCTCAGGATCTCTTATATACTGATGAAGCACTGGTGTTACCTTCAGAGTCTTAAGATTCTGTTGCTCAGCAGATGTTCTCTATGATTTTGGAGAAGTCTCAGGGCACTGGTTTTATCTGGCGTAAATCCCAGATGTGCTCTACAGGATTATATTGCCGAATCACCTGTACAATTGACTGAAATTTCCCTGAAATGTCTATTATTCAGGATTCACTGCTCCAAGGAATATTTGCTCCATATGTCAAGTGAGCACGAAGGAAATTGGAGATCAGCTTTCTTGAGATCGGGCAAGAAGGGCTCCCTTGACAACTGAGTCTCTGGGGCACAATCTTAAAAGGTGGGAACATATTCGTTTCACCTACACTTTGAGGGGGGCTGCCAGTTCATATTCCCCTTGAAACATTTTGTAAAATTGGGATTGTTTAGGAAAATATATATGTTACAAAGAACCTTCACAGTTTCAAATGCAGCACAACCTAAGGGAGGCTTCCTGAAGTGCCCCTCTTACCTGCAAATGCTGCCTGGTGTCTGGAGACCGTTCGTTGTCTAGGCTGTTGGCCCGTTCGTTCTGCTGCCTCGCCGGCTGCCTCTCTTTCAGGGATGTGCTTCTGCCTCTGCGACCTGCCTGCTTCGCCTCAGATCTGCCGAGAAGCAAATGTTTGCGTCTTTACCACTAAAACAAAGATGACAGCACAGATGCTGCAACTTTCCTGAAGAACAGCGGGAGGGGGGGAGGCAAGGCGCAGAACTGTCATGCTTTCCTTTACGTCTATGTGCCACTGACATTGCAGACAGTTTGCTCTCATTAAAGCACGGAGGAAGCTACGTGGTACAAGCCACCAACCCATTCAAGATGGCTTCAGCATTCTGGTTTTCCCTAAAAATGCTGCATATAGCAACTTTATAATAAATTCACTTCCGTGATTTAGAAGAAGAAGAAGAGGAGATTGGATTTATACCCCGCCCTTCACTTGGAGTCTCAGAGCGGCTTACAAACTCCTTTCCCTTTCCCTCCCCACAACAGACACCCTGTGAGGTGGGTGGGGCTGAGAGAACTCTGACACAAACTGCTCTTTTTCAAGGACAGCTGTTCCAGAGCTTGTGACTGACCCAAGGTCACATCAGCAGGTGCAAGTGGAGGAGTGGGGAATCAAACCCGGTTCTCCCAGATTAGAGTCCGCGCACTTAACCACTACACCAAACTGGCTCTCGAACTCCTTAGTTCTTTGCTGTACCTCATGAACTACCTTTTATTTAAAAAACAATAAACTGAAAATGGCTGAGAAGAGTTCAATATCGAAATGACATCTCACTTGGAGGTTTCTGATATAGCAAACTCACACCCAGCCTGTCAATCAAAATGGTCCTCTGGAGAGCTTGGATTATGTCAGCTAGCTGCCATTTCTGTGTAGTATACCCTTCCCTGTTCCCGCTTGCTTGCAGCTCAGCAGCTTGCCATAAACATGCCAGGGAGACCGTGGGAGCTAGACGACGTTATCAGTCTGGCCTTGTGAAGTAGGAAGGGCTTGGGGTCCACCTTTGGTGTGAATTTTTCTGCTCTCATGAAACCCTTCGACTCTCCTGCTCATTATGTAATCTCCCGCCAGGAGTCTTCCCGTGCCCGCGCGCTCGAAGTTCATTTGCTTAGCTAATTGCCTTGCCCAGTTATATGTATTGGGATGTTCCCGTCTTCTAGTTATTCCTAACAATAATCCTGTGGACATGGTACCAGTCTTGTACACTAATAAAGCATAACGCTTCTTAGGAAACGTGTGTGAAGAGTTACTTGCTGTGGAACCTTGGATTAGGTCCAAATGAAACCTATATGTTTAGCAGCAACATATCACAAAGTTGCACCCACTTAATACTGCAAGATCAGAAAAGGCTGCATGCCTCTTTTTGAACTGCATGTATATTGAAGTCTAGCATAAAAACAAAAAGGTTTCTTCCAGGCATGTTCAAAGGAAGGAAACAGTAATGGTGAAATGTTAGTAGAATAAAAGGAGCTGTCAGGGACTACCCAGCTATCTTAGTAGAAGAAGAAGAGATTGGATTTATATCCCGCCCTTCACTCAGAATCTCAGAGTGGCTTACAGTCTCCTTTCCCTTCCCCTCCCCACAACAGACACCCTGTGAGCAGTGTTCCCTCTAAGCTGAGTTAGTGTGAGCTAGTTCACAGTTTTTTAGCCCCCGGCTCACACATTTTTGTCTTAGCTCAGGAAGGAAGGCTCCAGAGCTGACTAATTTATGCAGTAGGCAAACTGCTCGCTCACAATTTTAATGCCAGTAGCTCACAAAGTAGAATTTTTGCTCACAGGACTCCACAGCTTAGAGGGAACATTGCCTGTGAGGTAGGTGGAGCTGAGAGAGCTCTCTTGAGAACTGCCCTCTTAACCACTACACCAAACTGGTTCTCGTTTCCAAGGCCAGATGAATTGCACCTGCAGGAAGGTCTTCCAACACGGAGTAGGAGGCTAGAGCTATGAGACAGGGCTAAAACTATCACTATGTCTTCCAGTTTGTTTAAAGTTGCAAGTCAAAGTCCTACTTGCACCGGATTTTAAGGATCACGACTGTCGTGTGTTTTAGTTTTTTAATAAATTAATGGTACAATTTTCTCCTGCAATATTTAGTGAAGTTTTACTATTTGTGTTTTGATAATGAAGCACAGTAGATTTTTAAATAATAAACTGTAATGAGTGAACCAGCACTTAAACTCAATCACGACCTGTCCGTCATAAAAATTATTCTTTGAGGGATATAAGTCTCAGAGTGCTCATGTTTTGGGAAGGAGGGTCCAGTTTCCGCGGGGGGGGGGGTACACAGCAAAACCCCGGAATTATAGTACCTTTAGAGGTGATACTAGGATATTTCAAGGAACATGGGACAAAATAAGAGACGGAGGTATCTTTAACTGAACGGATGAAAGAACTGCTTAATACTAAGAAGAAAGGGAAAGGTTCCACCTCTCGATTTGAATGTGGTCAGTTAAGAACTCTCTTAATTTCAGGTTTAAGGAAGGAAGAGCGTGTGGGAGTGGAATCGTACTTGTGGCTTTCTATCCGACTGATTTTATGGACTGTCAAAGCTTGAGTATTTTGAATGATTTACAAGTTAAGTAAATTATTTTAACTGTATTTAAAGGAATACTATTTCAGCATATTCTGTCCTTCTGCAAAACTGGGAACTGCAATGTTCCGATATTACTTTGCATATTTACTTTGACTAATTTTTTTAAGTGCTCCACTTCATCACCAGGTCCTTGTAGGTGGGTCACCAGGCTGTCAGACACAATCTACATAGCACAAGGGGACAGAATACCCTTTGATCTGGAAAAAAACCTAGAATTGGCTTGGAAGCAATGTAAGCCACTGTTCACAAGTTCAAAAGACTTAGGGTCAAAACACATATCTCTAGACAACGGCTTTGAAACTCTTACAGTTAGGCATTTTACCTAGCAGATGGAATGATGAGAGATTCTGTCTTTGTAATTCTGCCACTTGGTGGAAGCTTTTCAAGGAACATATCCAGAGCGGACACTTGTTCAGTTTCCAGTGTGTCTTCTTGCTGAAGATTCTCCTATCGACATAAAAAAAAGACGTGAGAAAGAATGGTCTGTGGTCGAGACACACAACGTTGGCAGGAATAATGGACACACCTCTAGTCTATTCAAATCAAGCTTATTTAAGAAGGGACATAAAAACCTTCTTCCTGTTTCTGTTCTTGCCAAGGATCTTAACCAGCACAGAGCAGATGGCACAGATGATGGTGGTTTGACAAGTCTGTGATTAGGGCACAGATCACTGTGGCCAGATCATCCTTTCCTAGGAATGACCACAACTTACATACCAACTGAAAATGACAAAAGCATGATGAGTCACAGAAGAGAGCTGAAACTCCGGTCACAGGCCAGGATCCAGCAGCACCCCCCAAGTTATGAAACTTCTTCCTTCCTTCCTTCTAGGGGAGTGCAGTCCCCTGAAGGACAGGCTGATTCCTTGGACCTTGCACAGCTTTGTCATTGACCAGCAGAACCTCAGTTTTAAACCTTGGATTTGAACAGGCTGATGAATCAGTAGGATGAAGGGATCCAATGAGATTATAGAAAAGCAGGAGAGGAGCCAACCATTGTGATGCTGGGAAGTATAATTGAGGAGAGAATTTCAGGTTGCTAGGAAGGAGGTCCATGCTCTCCAAGGAAGCTCCTGTCAGAAGCTTTCTGTTATCAGTAATGTGGTCTGGTGGAATATCAGGGGATCCAATTAAATTTGAAAGGTTGTTACTTGGGAGATAAGAAATGTAGTACCCCGCAGATGTATGATGTTTTACTTGATTTAAACTGTAAATCTGAGGAAGGTTTTATGGAAAAAAAATGGCTAATATTTAAATCACCAAATCTGTTCTGAAAAGTTGCCATTTTATTTTCACTAACGAGGTTACCTTCTTAGCTTGATGACAGAAACTGTGACTAAAATGATTAATCAATCGAACCTCTTGTCAAATATATAACATTGAGGATGACCGTTGTTTATGTGGTGAGAATAACACTACATTTCCCCATATGTAGCAGAAATGCATCCAGGCACATAATTATCAGGAAAAGGTAATAAACATAATCTCAAATGGAACCAAAGCTGTAATTTCTCTTATTCCAGAACTGGCATTATTGAATTGCATTGTAACAATACCAAAAGGACCACTTACAGGACTGGGTGGCTCTCTCTGGCTTCTCACACTGTGGAGGCTCCCAATTTCTGTCTGAGAGCTTGAGTGAGACATGCCTTCAAAGTAAGGCCTGCAGTGAGGAAAAAAAACAAGACAATTTGGAATGCAAGTTAATGACAAACGCATGGACAACTCAAGCCTATACCACGCTGGGATTCACTTGAAAAAGTTGCTCAGGATATGGATACACCTATAAAGGGCTCAAAGAGTATATTAAAGAAGTTTTTAAAAATCTCCAGATTTATAATCTATAATCCATTCTTTGCTTTTCCATAGTACCTTAGCCAAAAACTTTAAGGGACAGATCAGTATTTCCTGATATCGCACATCCCAGAATTTCCACACTATCTAAGATATGTATTTAAATCTGGTCTTCTCCCAGATAACTGGAAACCAAGAGCAGTAATAATAGAACCAAGACATAATAAAAACAACCATTAAAACAGCCAGCAATAGCCATTTTTAAAAGTCAGGTCAACCTTCAAAGCAGGATGCAAATAACCACATGCCCCTTTAAACATTTCTTTCACATCATCTCCAAAACTGGCAATGGGACATGGTTCTTCGTATGTCCTCTGAAGACTGCCATGGAACATCTTTTGAAATAAGCAGTACAGAGCCAGAGATGGTAAAGGAGACCTTAAGAGGAAGAAGATGGACTGCCAATATCAACTGTAGTCAGAGCTGAAGTAGTTTGTTCCGGAAAATAAATTCAGTAGAAATTTTGGTATTTGCTAAATAAACCTACAATGGGCTATAAAGTGTTTATAGTCTGTTTCCAAAGCCACTGTTTTATACAAGCAAATACTATACTCAGTAGCTGTTTCTCAATCTGTGTGCACCTAGTTTCAGCTTCAGGGAGAGACCTGAATGCATACGTCACTAGTTGCCAATGATTATTATGTTTTTGAAAGAGTACTGCACCCAGTTCCATTTGTGAGGCACCTTCTACCTTTCTACGGGTCTGTGGCACTTTGTTTATAGTCAGCACGTCTGCTACAAATGTCAGTTCTATAGCACTTGTGGTAAAATGCCTTACACCCCCAGGATTTAGGTCATAGTCATGATAATTGGGTCTGTCCTCTGTACACGCTCAGAGAGTGCTTTCTGCAGGCTAACAGCTACACAAGGGAAAAGTGGAGTGTGCATGACTAATCTCCCTGCACCAGAGCCAGCCCAGCTCTGTAGATAGGCAGATGGCCTACCCAGGGAAAACCAAAGGATAGAAGAGTCACACCTAAGCCACAGACCCTGAGAGGTCCAAAGAGAAAGAAAGATGTCTCACAAGAAGAGATGCTACAAACCACTGACCGTGAGAGAGAAGCTCTCTTAGCCATCTTTCCTTCACTCTGGGAGTTCTCTCACACCAGCGCTCCATTGCAATCGCATCCATGACCATGTGTTGCTGAACAAAGGGGAGAAACCCCATTGTAGGAAACTAAGTCAATGGATTATGAGGAGAAATGTATTTTATTTGGAAGTGTGTGCTTGAAAAACCTCCACACTGAGCTTTATTTATTTTTTATTCCTGGCAGAGGACAGGCAGGAAGGGGGGAAGCTCAATTGCTCCCAAGCCTTGCCAAGTACCAGCCATCAAAGCTTTAGAAATGCTTATTATCATTCTTATCATCATATGGCATTATGTGTAGAATAGCCAGGAGATCCTAAGATTGTCTGGTAGCCAGAAGTTCTAGCTCTTTTAGCGTTATGCACCACTAGGTAGCAAGCTAGACTCGTTCTTTTAAGGCAAGGGATATTACAGATGTTGTTTGCCGTTGCCTGCCTCTGCGTCACGACCCTGGTATTCCTGGGAGGTCACCCTTCCAAACACTAGCCAGGGCCAACCTTGCTTAGCTTCTGAGATCTGATGGGATTGGGCCAGGCTGGGCTACCCAGGTCAGGGCTTTAGAAATGCTAATAAGAACATAAGAGAAGCCAATGCTGGATCAGGCCAATGGCCCATCTAGTCCAACACTCTGTCACACAGTGGCCAAAAATACCAGGTGCCATCAGGAGGTCCAGCAGTGGGGCCTTCTTTGCTGGAGACAACAAAGTGGTCAGCTCATAACACCAGGAACACAGACTTGGGGGATGAGAGGCTATGAATTTTATTGTTACGGCACCCAGCCAGCAAAATAAAACCATAGAAATACAAATAAACTACAATGGCCTAATAGTAAAATTTCCAAAGTGCAACAAGGTACTAAAAAATAACATTATACAATCATTTTGGTCGCTAAAACCAGACTTAAGATTACAATAAAACACGATAAAAGGAAAAGAACTAAGATGACTTGGAAAGAGTAAAAGTTAAAATCAAACAGTCCTAACCGAAATGACAACCAGGGCACTGATGAGCTTTTATAACCAAGGAGCAAAATTTTGCAATCTGATGGAGCGCTGTATGTTCAAGGTTAAAAAACAAGTTTTCCATCTTATCCTGATCAGACGTGCCTGCCAAAAAAGACTCAATGAGTTTTGTGCGCGCCTCTTCAAATAACGGGCACCTTAAGAATACATGCTCCTGAGATTCAATCTCCCCCAACGCGCACATACATAACCTCTCTGTTCGGGGTAATTTTTTAAATTTGCCCTCAAGAACTGCAGAAGGTAAGGCAGAGCATCTAGCCAAAGTGTAAGCCCTTCTGAGTTTGCGGGACTCCAGAACATCTAAATATGGGGCCTGTGCAACAATGTATTTATTACTAGTTGGCGCTATAAAAGTTGGAGACACCTGTAGATCTAGTTGGCGTTCGGTGTCCTTGATCCTCTGCTATTTCTAACTTAGCTCGGTCACCACCCATTTCCAAAAGCGCTTGAGGAGAATACCCCAAGAGTGAAATTTTTCGCTTAACAGCGACCAGCCATTCAGATTCAAAGGAATCAGTCAGAATCAGAGGCACTAGTCCACAGGATGAGAGGCTAGATAGTTTCTTCCTCAAGATTTCAATAAAATATTATTTGACCCACAAAGATTAAGCAGAGATTTTAAAAATCCCTTGGCATGGAGGAAGAGGGATCCATTTTTGCAGGTTCATCTTGGCTGAATACATCTGAAGGAAAGCGCTCAGACACCCGAGTTCCAGCTTGATGGCAGCCATTGCCACTATAGAGCAGACGAAAAGGCTGGCTGCCAGGGCAAAGATTATAAAAGAAATGGGAAGCTTTCAGACCATTATAGCTTCAAAGCTAAAGAGCCTGCCTTAGACCAGATGGATGTATATAGAGCGAGAGACAGCGGAATTGTATATTTACATCTTTCTTTTTTATTCTTTGCTCAGTCCACTGCTGTGCAGAGAATATGCATGTGGAAGTGTTACTTTTAATATACTCTTACTATCTCGAATGCTGGGAGTGCCACACAGACCTCCACCATTCAAATATGCTATTCAAAACAGACAATAGGGGATGGGAGGCAGTCAGCTGTAAAATTTCCCCTGGGAGTGTACAAATGCGATAAGCCGTCCCCATGGTAACCAGTCTCTGGGTACCAGGAGACATAGGCACTAGGAGAAGCCATGAACAGCAAGGAGGGAAGGGAAACTGAGAGCACTCATCCTCTTGGCAGGTAATTCCTAAAACGGCCAGTTGGTGGCACCAGTAGAACGAAAACCAATACAAATAATCAGGCAGGTGGGGCAAACAGCACATTACCAGGCAGAGACTCTGGTGATCCCTGCTGCCAAGATGCCTCAGAAGGCCAAATGGAGCCGCACTAATGGATAAGGGTTGCCAGGTCTTACCTTGCCTGGAATGTGGGACTTCGGGGGAGGGGGGCCTTCCGGGGTGGGACACGTTTATGTGACCCGGAAGTGACATCATCACGCCAGGGACGTCGTGTGGGGGATGCTCTGGGATTTTTTTCGGCCTCAAAACCATAGAGTTTGCCCATATACCAAAGCGTCCCAGCACGATGATGTTACTTCCAGGTGACGTCTTTGCATCCAGGACATTGAATGGTGACCTCCTTGTTTGGGGGTGGGGCTTCCCCTGCCAGCCAGCTGGCCAGCAGTGGGCTGAAGCCCTGAAAATCAGGGGTTTCCCCAGCACTGCCGGGGGAATTGCAACCCTACTCGTGGATCAGAGGGGCTGTTCCACTACAGATCATTCCTGAAACTTTCAACTTCAAGAATAAATAACCTATCCTTTTCTAACCATCTATCAGGGGTTCAGAGGTTTGTGGGTTTATCACTTTTCATTTAATCCTTGTTCAGTTTGCTTCACATGTAGACCATGTCTATGCTACAAGCCAGGGCTGGTTGGGAGAGAAGGACCCCTCTGCAATAGAGGATGGACAATATCATCAATGTCATAATTGATGTCATCAATGGCACCAATGGCAATGGCAAGCTGGTCCACTGTCCTGTTGCACCAAGAGGGTAATTCCAAAGGATGCCCTCCTGCCTATGCAGGAGAATACTGATATTATTCTGGGGGGGAAATAATGTTTTCCAAAACACCATTATGTCAAAATTATTTTCTGCATGAATGAAGAGAAGAAGAAGAGATTGGATTGATACCCCACCCTTCACTCCCCAAAGGTGTCTCAGGGCGGCTTACAAACTCCTTCCCCTCCCCACAACAGACACCCTGTGAGGTAGGTGGGGCTGAGAGAACTCTGACAGAAACTGCTCTTTTTCAAGAACAGCTGTGCCAGAACTACGGCTTGCCCAAGGTCATCCGGCCAGGTGTAAGTGGAGGAGTGGGGAATCAAACCCGGTTCTCCCAGATTAGAGTCCGCGCACTTAACCACTACACCAAACACCAAAGCACGTACGATTGTTCTGAACAGGGAAGAGGCTGATGTCAGAATATAATTGATCTGTAGATTTCATTTAGATCTAATAAATCTAAATTTACATCTTGAGAACTCTGTTATTATATAAGCTCAACCAACTGATGACAATGGTATGTTTGGGAACTTACCCCTCCCAGAGATCTTGCATCAATCTATGTTTTCAAGCTGTGCCTTTAATACACAACAGCTCATACAGTTCTGAGAGATTCCTGCAACATTTATTGGTAAACTACTGGATGTCACAGGGCCCAAAATTCATAATCTCCTTGATTATTTCAGTGTTTATTATCTATAGGATAATATTATTCACTAACACAGCTGAGAAAGTAAGAAATAAGTTGCTGACATATTACCATTCCTTGTGCCGCAAACTGATGTACTTTTGTATTTTAATGAGCGTTTATATATTGTTCCTTTAACAGCTACCCTATTGTTTTAAGGATTTTTGCTGACACAAATGAATAAAGTGAACTGATACCATTTTGTTTACTAGGAATTCCAGATGCAGCAAAGACTGTCGCCTACAGAAAGACCAGCTGTGTGTAAAAGTGATGAGTTTTCTGAGGATTTGCCACTAAAGGAAAGTCTGATCCAAATCCACAGAAATGAGTAAATACTGAAGTTTTTCTTCACCTCACCACAACAGGTGGGGCCTCTTCAGTCCTTGTTTTACCAATGGGGCTCTCCCTGAGGAGACTGGTTCAAAACTCCTGTCCTTGCCTGCTCCTCTTACTGAGGAGAAAAAAATGAAAGATGAAACCAAGAGTGTGCAGTTATTTACGTAGGGGGGTCTCTCTTGACAAGTACTGCAACAGCTTCCGCATCCCAACCTCTTTCATCAGCAAACTGTTCAGTTACTTAAAAAAAAGATTTTCTAGTCTTCCCACTGCACTGACTTCAGAGAAATCTCTCTGCAGCTCCTGATTCACCATTTAAAATTAACGGAAAAGTTACAAAACATGTTAAGACTTTTTGTTTAACATATAATCACAAACTTCTGGAATCAGGCAGAATATAAGCTGAAAATTACAAAAAAGAACATTTTTTAATACTCCTAAAAATATACTGGGTGCTGTACAGCAGTAACATTTAAAAGTTAAAGACCAGTTCATTTGCTTAGTAGAAGCCTTGCGTATAGTGCTATCATTCAAATTCATGGGTGGCGACGCCGTGAAAGATGGCAGTCGCACCAATGTCACCCCAAGGTTTATAATTCTGACTGCGCACCCAAGATCTCATTTGTCTCCTTTTCATATCAGAACTTCCAGCCTCTGATTAATCGTTGGCTGCACTGGATTACTTTGGGGGTGGGAAAGGGTTACATGTGTCCAATCCTGCATTCTCCCTGCTGATAACATAGTCATTCATAGTCTCCTTATCAAAGTCAATCCAGTTGCTTGCCGATCTGTCTTCATTCGTTGTACAGCCAATGCACTCCTGACAACCTACTGCTGTGTCAACTACCCTCCACTCTTCTATCATGGGGAGAACACCTCTCCCCAATCCTTGTGGATCTACACTGAGAACTTGGCAGCTTCCAATATTCACAATGGAGCCTGCTTTGTGCATGCCTTCGAAAGGCAAGACGTTCCTGAGGTCACCCAGGTTCCAGAACACTTCACTAGAGCCACTGACAGGAAGTGGATGAATGGTCAAACTTTGCTGTAATGGATTGGCAAAGGTCCTGCCACTTTCTGAAAAACACCCTGTGACGGACTGCACTTTTAAAAAGCGTAGAAGTGCTGTGTAAACAAAGGACTGTGAATTCTAGATAAAGAACTGTGAATTTTTCACAGAGACAGAGAGCCTTCAGTGACAGGCTGTTCCAAGAGATCTGATTGATTAGCATCAGCTGAGCAGAGAAAGACTTCTGAACTGGATGCTGAGGAGGGATGTGGTCTGATTTAAGCCCTAGCTGAGAAGAGTCGAGTACTGACAGTTTTGGAATTCAGCTCTGACTGAGAGCAGTTTAACACAGACTGGGGAAAGCTGGCAGAAACTCCCAATCAGGCCAAAGAAAGGGGATAGATCTTCTAGCAAGAGGAGAATTTTCCTACCCAGTCAAACAGGGAGTTAGCTCTGAAGAGTGCAGAGATTCCTGGCTAGGTGTAGTTAGAAACTGCCTGTAGAACCCTTAAGAGTCAGATAAAAACTCAAGACAAGTACTGGTTTTCAAGAAAAGGTGTCTGGGTACTGGAAAGAATGCACCAGCCTTCTAGAACCAAAGGAGTCAGAGAATACTCAAAGAAAATGTAATGGAGTGTTTGGGGGAAACATTGGAACAAAAGCCACTCAACATAAAGATTTTAAGTAACTCTGAATAGCTTAAGAAACTCTCATTAGCCTGAATCATAAGAGCTAAAGTCTCTGCATGTACTGGTTTTACATCAGAAATTTCAACCCATGATTTCACCTGACCTTTCCCCTCTATGATGAATAAAATATTCTGTTAATTTGGAATATAAAAACGTCTCCAGTGCCATTAAAGGGGGCGGCAGGAGAGGGCAGCCCAGCCAGGACCACTGTGCCTTCGGAGAGCCCATCACTCCCTGCAGGCACAGCTCTATGCTGCCTTCTCCTGCCATCCGGTTTAAACTGGGTGGCGGGAAAGGGCAGCTTAGCTGGGATCGGCTGTGCCAGCAGAGAGCCGATCGCTCCCCGCTGGCGCAGCTCTGCGCTGCCTTCTCCAGCGGCTCAGTTTAAACCGGGTGGCAGGAGAAGCCAAGCCAGGCCAAGGATCAGGCTGGTATTATTTTACCAGCATTTTTCGGTTCAGGTCTATTGGACCCCAAAGAATTCGGGATTTCCGAAAAATCCTGGACCCACATACCATACCGGTATTTGGATCCGGGATTTTTTAGGAATCCTGAAATTTTTTCGGGGGCCCAATAGACCCGAACTGAAAAACACCAGTACAAAAAAAATTGCACGCCCCTACTCATGGTTAAGACCCCTACTCAGTGGTTAAGATGCTGAACTACAGACCAGAAGGTCGGTAGTTCGGCGGTTCGAGACCCGGGTGCCGCATGACGGAGTGAGCTCCCGTCTCTGGTCCCAGCTCCTGCCAACCTAGCAATTTGAAAGCAAGAAAGTGCAAGCAGATAAATAGGTACTGCTTCGGTGGGAAGGTAACAGCATTCCATGCGCCTTGGCATCTAGTCATGCCGGCCACATGACCACGGAAACGTCTTTGGACAGCGCTGGCTGTTCAGCTTGGAAACAGAGATGAGCACCGCAACCTAGAGTCGGATTCAACTGGCTTTCGAGCAAGGGAAACCTTTACCTTTAGGTTACTCATGGGCACTGCACTTACTGTATAGGGTTAAGTCTATCAAACAGAGGGATGGAGTAGAGACCACACTGATTGAACTTTACATGCTACCTCTGTTTAATGTCATGACCCCTCCCACTTTAACTCCCTCATCCGGTTGCCTTGGCTCCCCCCATCCCAACTGCAATGGGTCTAAGAATTTGCAAAGCTGCTAATCAATGTCAGGTCCTCTTACTTTAGCTTTGGTTTCGGCGTGCTGAGAACACTTTCGTCATCTTCCATGTCAGGGCCACTGTCGCTTGGGTTGTCGATATCAAGCGTGTCATAGAGAAGGTCTAGGTCTTCTTCAGCTTCTGCGACATGCTCAGCTGGATCCTGCTCAGAATCAAAAACCTAGGCACAAACCACAAACAGCTTATTCCTTTATTTTACCTCATTTCTCTCCCTTCAGTGAGTTCCAGAAGCTTGTAATTGCATAGACTGGTCTCTATCCTAAGACGTTTCATAGAGAAAAACATGTAAAAATCCTCCTGTGGAATATTTGCTCTTTTGAAATGAGTGCGGTGCTTTTGTAGACAAGGTTTTAAAATGCACAACACAATCAAATGTATGTAAAACAATCCACAGCAATGGATAATGGCAATTTCAAAGAACATACAACATATTTTCAATACATTTATTGTTTAAATGTGAATAATATTGCCAACAATACATAATACATTACTAAAAAGATCATGTTCTGTCAGTCCTACTGTGACTAAACAATACTGTGTCTGTCCAAATAATACACTTTCAATTTAGTTTTCCCCTTGCTGTCAGATGGAGAAAATTAAGATACATGCACTAAGATAGCACAGGTTGCAGCAGTTCATAGCTTTCACACATATTGAGGATACACTTTGGGTCCTCCGATATTCAGAAGAAGAACAGGAATATAAAGATTTTAAAGAAATACATGAAAAATTTGCGCTTTTGCTTGCAGAAAGCTTTCAATTTTTTTTAAATTCCATTAATACACAAACAATACAACTATATACATTAAGTTACTAATGAAGCATTTTATGCTAAAGCATTAAAATAGTTCACATTTAATATTTTATAAATTATAATAATAAAATCACTTTAATAATCTATAGTAAAGAACACATATATTTAATTTTCCCCCTCATATTTCCATTTTTTACTGGAAGAATCTGAAAAAAAGGATTTTTGCATGGGTTCAAAATATCTGGAAATTTTCTGTATTTCAAACACTGTCTAAGATGATGCTAGGACTGGATATATATTACGGCCAGGTTTCTCTTGCTAATCCATCCAAGCTTCGTTGTGTATAGTTTAGGAGAGGCCCAGCTGGTTGTTAACATGGCTATACAAGACCAACATTTAAATATATATACGTACATATACATACACAATTATCAACGCCATCCTAAGGGGGGAAACAATTGGCACAGGGAGCCAACGCCAGTGTAACTGGGCTTTATACCAGTGTCAGGGCTGTTTACACCCGCACAGGGCATGAGCAATGCTGCACTGCAGAGTTCCACCAGCACAGAGGTGCCGCAGACACATGACAGCAGACTGTCAGGGTGAACCCCTGTGACAGCACAGATGTGGGTATTCCAGGGGGTATGTTGCCAGGATTGCTTTGCCCATCTGGCTACCTACAGCATACCGGGTTCCAGGGCTTTTTTTGTAGAAAAAGCCCAGCAGGAACTCATTAGCGTAAGAGGCCACACCCAACAGCAAAACCTCATTCGCCTATTAGGCCACACCCTGACAGCACAGCTCATTAGCCTATTAGGCCACACCCCCATGCCTTTCCTTGGCTTGCCTGGGCCCCCCACGGCTGCGGGGAGCCCGGGCAAGCTGGCCCTTGGACAGGTCGGAGAAGGCCTGTCAGGGCCCCCCTGGCCCGCCCGCCTCAGAGTCACCGGAGGGGGGTTGCTCTCCAGGCCTTCCCTCTGTAGCCACGCACACAGAGGTTTTGGCTATAGTGGGCGTGGCCATCTCTGAAGCCAGCCGGAACTCCATTCCTGTGCCTTCCTGCCCAAAAATAGCCCTGCCGGGTTCGCTTCAAGGTGCTGGTTCTTACCTATAAAGCCCTATATGGCCAGGGCCTGCATACCCGAGGGACCACCCTGTCCCATATGTTCCCCAGAGAGTACTGCGGTCAGGTTCACAGAACCTTCTTGTTCTCCCCGGCATGAAAGATGCCAGGCTGGCCATAACCAGGGCTAGAGCCTTTTCTGTGGCAGCTCTGCTTTGGTGGAATGAGCTCCCCGAGGACCTCAGGGCCCTGCGGGATTTATTAAAATTCCACAGGGCCTATAAGACGGAGCTCTTCTGACGTTCGAGATGCCACACGAAATGATTTACCACCTAACTGAATACTACGCCCTACCATCCACTCTTGGCCGCCGGCCTAACATCTATGCCCATATGAAAGAACTCAAGCCCTAAGGAGCCTGACTCCAGCTGCTGTTTTCCCTGTGGTGGATGTTTAAGACAGTTCCGCTGTCTTATGTGAATGGCATTTTAAAGGGTTTGTTTGATTTTAAATTGTTAAAATTATTACATTGTTTTATTGTCTTACTGTTTATAATGCCTACGGCCATGTTAGCCACCCTTGGCCCGCCCTGGCGGGGAGGGTGGGATATAAATCTAATAAACAGATAAATATAATAAATTAATCTCTAAGCCCAACGTTAAAGAAGTTGCTGAAGAAAACAGGACGGCCATGCTTACCTCTTCCTATACTTTAAACCTTCTCAGCAACGCCACCACTTTTTGCTTGAAGTTTTGCTGCTGTAAATCGAAATGCTTGACGTCAGAATGACTTTTCAGCAGACAACCTCCCCACCATGTTGAAACAAAATACTACTGCTAAGTGCCTAAATCAGTTGGCTGTTTTGACCCACTCTGCCCCTTTCCCTCTTTGCTTCTGTGTTGTTTGTTTCTGTTGCGTAGGTAAAGGTTCCCTTGCTCGAAAGCCAGTCGAATCCGACTCGAGGGTTGCGGTGCTCATCTCTGTTTCCAAGCCGAAAAGCCGGCGCTGTCCGAAGACACCCCATGGTCATGTGGCCGGCATGACTAAACACCGAGGCGCACGGAACACTGTTACCTTCCCACTGAAGCGGTACCTATTTATCTACTTGCAATTTCTTGCTTTCAAACTGCCATGTTCCCAGGAGCTGGGGCCAGAGACGGGAGCTCACTCCGTCATGCGGCACTCAGGTCTCGAACTGCTGAACTACTGATCTTCCAGCCTGCAGTTCAGCGTCTTAACCGCTGAGCCACCGCAGCTCCTTCTGTGGCATACGCTGCCTCTTTTATGGGCTACCCAAGAAGGCCTCCAGGTTGGCAAACCATATGTGAGAATGGGAGGAAAAAGAGGGTTTCCTGCCCGCACCTTTTTTAGAACCCACACAGAGTGTTTTTAGAAAGTGGGTGGGACAGGATGGGGCTCTTGCCCAGGAGAGCTTCAGACTGACCACTGAAGGTCTCTCTCAGCCCCCTTTTCCGTTGCATTGTTGACTACCCTCTTCTCTTGGGCATCCCCTGTGTATGTGGCTCTGCCTCAGGTCGCAGCCATTTTGAGGTTGCATCCTATAAGCTGTACGGAATTCTAAAGGTGCCCACAGGGTCAAAAAGGCTGGGGACCCCTGGACTCTACCTAAAACTATTCTTAAGTGTGGCTGTACCTGTTTCTGAAATGCCATCTGATTTGCCTTTTATAATGAATAGAAACCAGTGTGTGTCTATCCACTGCCTCCCTACCAATGCTCCCTCAGAGCTGTGGAGTCTTTTGAGCAAAAATTCTACTTTGTGAGCTACTGGCATTAAAGTTGTGAGTGAGCGATTCAATTAGTTTGCTTCGGAGCCATCCTTCCTGAGCTGAGACAAAAATGTGCGAGCCGGAGGCTAAAAAACTGTGAGCTAGCTCACACTAACTCAGCTTAGAGGGACCACTGCTCCCTACATGCATGCTACCGAGCTGTTTACTTCTGCACACGGGGAGGACAAGAACAGTGCTGAACAATGCTCTGTATGCTCCGGAGCCCAGGTCCTCAGCCACAATGCCCACCTACTAAGAGTGCTGTACCTCTCATCTTTACATTTATCGAAAGCTGCTAGAACAGGTAACAGTGACTTGATACCGATCTGTTATCATCATCACCTAGTTCCTATCACCAGGCAAATGTTTTCATCCATATGCAATCTATCGTATTTTTACCCTTTTCTTCCTCCGAGGAGCTCAGGGTGACATGCATAGTTATTCTAGGTGGTGGATGCTCCTTTGCCGGGCATTTTCAAGCGGAGGCTGGACGACCATCTTTCAGGGTATGTTGTAGGTATGTAGGGCTATCTTTCGGCTATGCTCCTGCAGAGTGCAGGGGGTTGGACTAGATGACCTGCAAGGTCCCTTCCAACTCTAACATTCTATGATTCTATGATTCCTTCCTCACTGTATCCTCACAACAACCTTGGTAGGCAGAAGCTGAGAAACGGCAACTGGCCAAAGGTAACCCAAATCTGACAATATCTTTTGTGTGTAAGTCATTCGGAAATTTTCTTTGCTTGTATGATTATTCTGCCGTGTATTAATGTACGTCTAAATTGTAAGGCAATCTGATATTTCTTTTTTGATTTCTCCAAAGGGAACGCTATAACCAGTAGCCAACTCGAGTCCCAGGAAAGATAGCAGGATACACATATTTTAAACTGAATAAATAGTTCATACGTCCTGTACAAATCCATCATTAAACCCATTAAAAGTAGTAAAATTAATTTCCACCCACCCTGGTTATGGATGGTGTTCTTACTATTGACCTCCGCGGCTTCCTTGGCTTCCCCAACTCATAATCATCATCATCCAAATCCTAAGGAGAAAGAAGTTTGCTATTATTGTTTTAGCTATAAAAAGCTTAAGAAAGGAAATGGGCTTAATCTACTGAATTCATGTAAGAAAGTCCTGGGCTAGTACTTCTGAGCTATAACCCGTTCCCCATCAAACAGAACTGATACCTTCCCGTTACTCTGGAGAGGAAGGCTCTAACTTTTTGCTTCTCTCTGCATGAAGATCTGTTCATACCTAAAGCCATTCAATGTCTTCTGATGAACCTAGAGACCCAAACAGGATTGGGGGGGGGGCTTTCCCAATTTTTTCCCCAAGGCGTATTTTTCCAGTGGAAAAAAAGGAACATTTGTGGGAATGCTGAAAAAAAACTTTTTGCACTTGACTGTTGCTTCCAACATGTTAACACTTTGGGTGTTGAACAGAGCCCTGAAGAGAACTCATGTTGGGCATCTGATTATTTATAGTTCTGAAACACAATTTAGTTACTTGAAGTATGTTGTCTTTCTCCAAGGCAGCTTATAATTCAAATATGCCATAATAAAACATCAGGCGAAGCATGTAAAGCAAAAGGTTTAAACTCCTAATTCAAATAAAATTCGACATGTTATTTAAACCTTTATCGCCATTTCCCAATTTTATACAAGGAAAAAGGGAGATCAGAAAACATTATCATCATGATAGTTAACTATCTTTAGCTGTACAAAGTTATTGCCTAATTTTAAACACCGGTTTTTACATGGTCTTTAAAACCTTCAGGGTGTTATTTAGATTATATTTTGGCACTCTGCTTGTCTTCAGCTTTATTCTAATGTTTGATATTAACGATTTGTTGTCTGTACCGCAGTCATCTCCTGGTCTTGTTTTAGGAGACAGAATAGAGCTTCTCCATATTCTGCTTCCAACTATGGAACCAGTTTGATTTCTCTAGTAGCCACCAGTGATGTCCACATATACAATCATCTATTCACTTGCCCAAAGCATGTTATTTGCAATGAACAAAGTGCTGGCTTCATAAAATTATATGCCACTCTCCTGCTTCAATTCATAATCCTAGTCCAAATTTTCTGACAATGTTTGATTCTGCTTGGCTTCCTATTTTTGCATTCCAGTCACCTATGATTATCAGCACATCTTGTTTTAGGTGTTCGATCAATTTATGCACTTTCACTTGCATAAAAGCTTTAAATTTCTTCCTTCTCAGCATTTGCAGTGGGAGCATGAATTTGAATGATGGTTATATTAACAGGCTTTCTGTGAAGTGTGTCTGATGTTATTCAAGCAGGCTTTGCAATTATGGCCCCCAATTGCTCGTGCTACGTCTCTCCACGCTACTAGAACAATATCATTTCTTCTTGTCGTTTCCAGAGTAAAACACTTTGTAATTGTCTCACTGAAAAATACCCTAACCCAGTCCACTTTCCTTCACTCACACCCAGGATTACCGTGTTTAAACATTCCATTTCTCATTTTACAATCTCAAGCTTACTTGGACACATACTTCCCACATTCCATGTTCCTGTTATATGTGTCGTACATCTCTGGACTTTGCTTTATGCATCTATTCATGTCAGCCACTGAGTGTCTTCTCAGCTTTAGTCTAGTTGCATCATTAACAACAGTACTAGTCATACTCCCAAAGCTAGACAGCAGCCTTCCCACTCGAACTTCTAGCTCTTACCCTTGTGCCATCCCTGAAGTGATGAGAGGCCTCAGGAAAACAGTCCAAGCTTTGGATCCTGCTTAGCACCAGATCTTTCTAATCTCCAAATGGTAAGGGAGTTGCTGGTAAGATGGACTCCTCAGTTGTTGATTTGAACCAGGAAGGGGGGGGGGGGGTAAGGTAGTACATGGTACAGTCCCTCACTCCACACCTCACCTGTCACTGCCGTCTCTGATGAAGGGGACAGGTTGACAGCCCAGCCTGGACCATACCTCAATCCTGACTTCCACTGCTGCACTCATGAGTGACAATTCCTCGTTCTGGGTAGCAACGTAGGACGACTGAATGGAGCGGTGAAAGGTTTCCCAATTCAAAACTCCATCTATTAGGCCTTTACGTTTTCCCACATAAACGCTAACATTTCTTGATCACATTTTTAGCTACCACTTCCTTCAGAAGATTAAGATAGTGACAGGAAGCTCATCTTGCTATTCCTGCTTCAAACGGCTCACGATTTATGTTGGCAAAAAGAGTCTGATACACAGTTCTATAGGAGTTAAAACCACCATACTAGCAAAGCTCTTAAAGTTATGCATTTAGGACAGACCTTCTAGAACTGCTGCAATTGCTGCCACCAGCTTATGAAGGGAGGCAGGTTTCGTTGTGTGCTGCAGTCTGAAAACTGGTCAGTCCAGTCCTTCATCCCTTGTGACAATTATGCTAAAACTCAAGCTCTGAGTACCAGTGTAAGTAATAAGCCCCTTCTAAAAAAGAATTTATGCACATCAGAAAGTTTATACAGTACCTGCCCATGAACAGCATCATCGCTTGCTTCTTGTTCAGAAGAGAAGCTTTCATATTCCTCTTCCGAATAGTTGTCTGTAAGAATCACACAGAAGCAACTGCATGATACTTTTGCAGAAAAAAACTCAGAAATTACATCAAACATATAGAATTATTAGTCACAATGGGTAACGACAGATTCAGATGTTATAAAGATGCGCAAAATCAGGAGCTGTAGGGCTCCACTTTGGACACTACAAAAGATGCAGAGAAGTATCTTCCTTCTACACAACATCTGGAGCCACCATGAAAAAAACAAGGCATTTCTATCATCATCTTGATCTATACAGAACCCTGTGACATAGGTTACCCTGAGAGTGAAGTGATTAGCACCACACTGCTCAGTGAGCTCCATGTCGGAGTGTGGCAGAATCTGTGCATCCTTAGTCCTATGTGGACACACCAACTGCTATACTATACTGTCTTCTATATATCTAAGAAAAAGCAAAAGTGTAAATGACATTAATAAAGCCATTTCAATCAGCCAGCATGTCATAGAGGCAAGGAGCTGAAGGAGAAAAAATTCCACTGCAGTGGAGATTCCACAAAGAATCCTCTCCTCCAAAAACAAAGGACAGTAAGGTTTGAAAGGATCAGGGGTCATTTCCTGCAGGAGCGCACAGGAGCGGAGCTCCGGCAGTAAAGAGCACAGGGGGCAGGCACATGCAACAAGCCACACCCCCTGCTCCCAGCAGCCCTCAGTCAGAGCAAGAAGCAGCCAGGTAAGTTACAAAGCTCCCCCCGGTGTCCAGTGGCACCTTTAAGACCAAGTTTTATTCAGGTACAAGCTCTCCCTCCTCTGCGAGGGCAGATCTACACATCCCCCCCCCCCAATAGCTAGCAATCCAAAACAGTCCATTGGAGCCTAAGCGGTGGGGGTTGCCTTCTGACACACTCACAGTTTCATGTACAAATAAGTTATGCTAATGAGCTCCTGCTCTCTACAAAATGACCCCTGGAAAGGATTCAAAGCTGACTTCTGGATTCGCTTCAAGGTGCTGGTAACTACCTTCAAAGCCTTATATGGCCTGGGACCCACATATCTGAGGGACAACCTCTTCCCATATACGCCCCAAAGAGCATTATGCTCCATGAATAAACATCTCCTGGTTGCCCCTGGCCCAAAGGACGTCCGTCTTGCCTCGACCAGGGCCAGGGCCTTTTCTGCCCTGGCCCCTGCCTGGTGGAACATGCTCCCAGTTGAGATTAGGGCCCCGCGGGATCTTCTTCCATTCCGCAGGGCCTGTAAGATGGAGCTGTGACACCAGGCCTTAGGCTGAGGCAGCGGGCATCTCTATATGGCCTCCCTGAGGTGGTTGTCACCTATCCACCTGTTTAACTCAAATAATATGCTAAAGAACCGTACAACCAGTGAGTGTCAGAAGTGTGACTGGGTTTTAATGTTTATTATTGTTTAAATTAGTAACTTGTTCAGTTTTATTTGTATTTATTGAACTGTTTTTATGATGTTACCTGCCCTGAGCCCGCTTGCAGGATGGGCGGGCTATAAATACAAATGATAATAAAAAATAAGGCACACTGTAGGAGAAAGTCTCTGAAAAACTGGATTGGACAAAATCAAACACAAAACCTGTATTGCTTTACTTTGCTCCACAAAATAAATACTACTTGATGCAAAAAAAGTTAATTGCTCCAAGTTTCAATAACCCATGAGAGCATAATATCTGTCTAAGGAACACGGAGGACCTTGGGGCTCATTTGGTGTTCTTGTGCACGCTTCCTGTAAAGGATGGTGACAGAGAAGCTGAAATCACAGGAGGAGGCAGCAATTTCAACATAGACTTCTGTACTATGGTGCATTTGTTTATGGGATCCTCCAAACACGAGAGGATAGCAAGCTGCTGAGGGAAGGGGAAAGCAAGGAAAGAGGAGGAGGAGGAGGAGGAGGGGGAGATTGGATTTACACCCCACCCTTCACTACCCGAAGGAGTCTCAGAGTGGCTTACCATCTCCTTTCCCTTCCCCTCCCCACAACAGACACCCTGTGAGGTAGGCAGGGCTGAGAGAGCTCTTTCAAGAACTACCCTTGAGAGAACAGCTCTAGAAATAACTTGTGACTGACCCAAGGTCACACCAGCAGCTGCGTGTGGAGGAATGGAGAATCAAATCCAGTTCTCCCAGATTAGAGCTCACGCTCCTAACCACTACACCAGTTTCTCCACTGGACCCAGTTCTTCATCTTGATTTATAAATTCACCAAAAGGCAGTGTCAATAAGATTATCTTACACCACTTCCCCAAAAGGCATAGGCTTGGGCTCTGTCACGTCTCCGGGCAATGAAAATCCTGAGGTTCAGGACTGACCTTGAAGCCTGCACCACACAGAGTGCTCTTAAAGTCCTCCATGGAATACACAGGTGGAGGAGCTAGAATGGCAACAGAATGCCAATGGAAATGCTGGAGCATAGCTGAAATGTGCTCACGGCCACACAGGCCGATCAGAAGGGCCCCCCCCCCCACAGTGTTCTACACCTGTTGAGCCTTCCAAACTATGGGAACCTACATAAAGTATGCTTCAGTAATCTGATCAGGGAGCGGTGGCACAGGGGATTTATCCTCTGGTTAATACATCTGAGCTGAACAGAACTGCTGTCAGTTCTAGCCCCGTGCTGGTGTGAGCTACGAGCCTTGTCCCCAGCTCGCCGTCCACCCAGCGGTTCGAAAGCTTCGGCGAGTAGATAAAATGGGTATCACTCGTTAGAGAGGGTGGGCACACTAAAACCTCCCCGGTGGGGGAGGTGTTAGCCGACGAATGGAATGTCCAGCGCGTAAGACCGAAAAGCCTAGAAAGAACTCTTCGGCATGAAGGAAGCCTGTAATGGGCCATCCGGCCAGGCGGTGGCAGTGCTACGCTGCAACTTGAAGCAGTCCGGAGAAAGCTGACGACATCAAGCCACGCCGAGGGAAAATGCCGTTGGAACACGTCTGACCTTACAGCCGAACAAACTCCCCGTCGGCTGCGAACGTGTGTGATTTAAAGATTATATGTTGTCCTCCCTTACCCCTTGAATCATTGTTAGTCCCATGTGTAATGGAGTAACTGTAAATCGCTCAGAGCCAGCAAACTCTGCAGGATTGAGCGATTAATAAACTGAAAGATTATTTATTTATATAATCCTGCATCTCTGCACCTGTGAGAAAAGGCCAAAACTTTCTCACCGAGTTAAACTTTTTATCAAATGAACAACTTTTTAACCTCACTCTGGCAACTTCAGTATCCCAAAGCACCCCAAGGCTCTAAGCTTAAGTCACCAGAACAGTCTGAACCCCATTAAGCGATGGGTGTCCCCATCTTGACTCCCTTGACACAGGCCAGAGTTGGAATCTTTGATTTAATTAAAGCGAAGTATGTATCATTCCACATACAACCACAGCTAGTTACATTTCCACATGACTGGTTGGTGTGTTGGAGGTGGAGAGTATGATCCTTTATGGTTTTGGTTCTTTTAAGATTCTCACTTGGGTTTTTTAAAAATTGTATTTAGCCACTTTATCAACTTTAGCCTCCTTTACACAATTGTCATTTCCATGGTTGTTATATCATGTAGCACTTTTCCAATTGATTATCTCATATAGAAACTATCAACAAAATAGACCTCCCAGTAAGTCAATGTGAACAACCAGAAAAAACTGGGGAAGTCGCTAACAATGAAAGTCCAATACAATAATAGCAATTATAATAAGCTATTATTGTATTGAACTTTCATTGTTAGTGCTTCCCCAGTTTTTTCTGGTTGTTCATATAGAAACTATTGCATAAAAAAATACTGAGGTCCTTTGGGGAAAAAACACAGATATTCTCATGGAAGAATTTTTAACAAAAATGATCCCCAGAAGAGAGCTTGAAAAGCACCGCCTTACACCAATGGAATTAAATACCAGTATATACAGATTTAAGATAATAAATGTGCCATACAATGGCTCAACAAAAAGTTTTCCATCAAGCTGTGTTCGGATTAGTTTTCATCTCCACTTCCTTACCTGCCACTAATGAAGGGGAGAAAATCTAAAAGGAGCACCATTCCCAGTAAGATCAGTATTCTTCAGAAGGTGGCTATTATGGGGTTTATTAGTGCGGTAAGACTATGGCCAATAAAGAGGAAGGAAGGAAGGAAGGAAGGAAGGAAGGAAGGAAGGAAGGAAGGAAGGAAGGGATTGAACCAAAAGAACAGCAGTACTATTTTCCAATCATCCAAGGAATCCATAAACATTAAAAATGTTCCAAATTATGCTCTACCACTTTCCTTGCCATTTTCCTTTCCAGTGACTTATTAACATCAACAGCAAGGGAATCATTTAAAAGTCTACAGGTAATTATTTGAAAGTATATTGAATTATTAGGCTGTAACTTATAATGTGCCAAGTACATCTATTACATGGCTTTCATTTTTATTCAAGAGCTGTAGTTGCCATATAGCATAATGAGTTAGCAGACTCTCTTGACAAGTTGATGGGCCTCCAAATCATCAACTCCTCAGTTTTTGCTAATTACAGCAAGCTCCAGCCCTGCACCCTGACCTCTAGGACCCAGAACAAGCAGAAAGCACTATGCCTCATACGGATCAGATGATCAAATCTATGTTTCCTTCCAGTTTTGCATTTCACTGCCATACGGATGTTGAACTGGAAGGAGGACAGCAGAATGTTTCACAAAACATCCCAGGGCGATTTCGAGCAAGTGCTCATCAGGAGCAAGTTGCACAACTGAACAGCAAATCTCGGAATGCCCATCATGTCCCACTGATGTGTAATCAAGACTTCTTGACTGACTGAGTGCATGCAGGCGTGTTACAGGTAAAGAAAGATTAACTTTTCCCCCCGTTTCCAAAGTTACCTGACGACTTGGTTTTCTGGCTCGTCTGCACAGTGCTTTCTTCTTGGTCTATTGGCTGACTGGACAGTGAGAAGATCCAGATCTCTGCTACTTTGGTTATTGCTTCCTTGATGCTACTGAAAAGGCTCAGAACCTGGCCGCTTTCCGTTGGGTGCTGCATTACCTGAGATCGAAGATACAAACATGCAGTTCAATAAAACCTGACCTAAACACTCCCTCTCGCCCAGTTTCTGTTTATGTCATTCAAGGACCTGCTCTCGATGTTTGAAGATAGCAAAGCAATTTTGTTTATTGTTATGGCAAACAGAACCAGGATAGAACGCAAATGAGTGACTTGTGTCTGGGTGTCATGTAAGCAGGGCTATTTTGGGGCAGGAACACACAGGAACGGAGTTCCGGCTGGCTAATGAGTTCCAACTGTCGGGTGTGGCCTATTATGCTAATGAGTTCCTGCTGGGCTTTTTCTACAAAAAAACCCTGCATGTAAGGTTGTAGTAGACATCTGTCCACCCACACAATTATTATGCACGCTGTGAATTTAAGTATCATCAGGCATCTGCAGTTTGTTGAGTGACATGGGGAGTGCTCTGAGCAGGGGGGGTGAGGGGGCAAAAGAGTATTGAGAGCTGCCACGTGACTCCCCAGGTCAAAACCTCAGGCAACCATACACAAGAATATACATCAAGTATTTTTAGTGGCAATAAAATGTATTTTATTGAACAGCTAGGATTCCTTCTCCCTGCTACCACCTACTTGTGAGTTGGAAGTGCATCTGCCTGATACACTAGACCCGAGACCCTGTATTCCTTTCTCTCTCCAAATCAAGAGTTGCCTTCCTACTCCAAACCGACATGGCGGCAGGGAAAAACTTTGAAAGCCCTCAATTGTTATTAATGTGAGCTAAGCAGACATCGCCTTCCTTTCTCTTTGTATCTTGGTAAACGTGAGCTGAGCTAGGCTTTGTGTGGCTGCAGAACATCCATTTTAGAAAAAGGGGAAAAAAATGTAACTTTACTCGCATAAGTAGTCATTGACTACAGAAAGAAAAAAGCAAACAGCTGAACAACCACAGACTATCATAATCTAGGGGAAAGGAAACATGAACCGGTGATAAATGCCACCTTCTTTCCTTAAATCTAATACTTATTCCCATACGATGAGGGTTTAACAGAGAAGCAGGATAAAGTTTCGAGATTTCTTTTTCAGGCTCTGCTCACCTCTTTATCTTTCCCTGCCATCTTGCTAGCGTTCTCCTTTGAGGTCTCACATCTCTCCCCTGTCTGACCACGTGTTCCGATCTGCTCCTCTCTCTGTCTGCTGTCACATTCTCCACCCCGCCCATTACCTGAACATCCACAGGATCCACAGGATGCAAATTTAACATTTACCTAGCAAAGTTGTGGATTTTTACTCGGAAACCTGGGGTGAACGGGCTCTCACCTCAGCCATGTTAACGGATCCTCCTGCCAGCGTCTTGTAGCCCAGAATCGTTCTGTTCTTATACCGCTTCCTTCTCTGCAGCAAGATCTGAAGCTGATTGCCTTCTCTTTTCAAGAAATGGGGGTACTGCCATTGAAATAACATTTTAAAGCTTTACTACAATGCAAATCAAGGAGCTGCGGTGGCTCAAGTGGTTAACACGCTGAACTGCAGGCTGCAGAAGGTCAGTAGTTCAGCAGTTCGAGACCCGAGTGTGCCGCATGACGGAGTGAGCTCCCGTCTCTAGTTCCAGCTCCTGCCAACCTAGCAGTTCGAAAGCAAGACATTGCAAGTAGATAAATAGGTACCACTTCGGTAGGACGGTAACAGCGTTCCGTGTGCCTTGGTGTTTAGTCATGCTGGCCATATGACCACAGAAAACGTCTTCGGACAGCGCTGGCTCTTCGGCTTTGAAACGGAGGTGAGCACCGCAACCCTAGAGTCGGACTCGACTGGCTTTCGAGCAAGGGAACCTTTACCTTTATCTTACAATGCAAATCATATTTTTTTTTTACATTTAGAATATTTATATGCCCACCTTTCACCGTGCACAGACAATAGCTGTTATCTATCTGTCTACCTCAGCAGGAAGGGGAACTGTGAAGATAGCTGCTGGCCTGTAACATCCCTCCCCTGCTGCAGTTGTTCAAAGCCTGGGCAGGACAGCCAACACAGAGCCAAGCAAGAGACCCTCAAGACCCACAACAGCTTCCATCCCATGGCTTTGGCCTGGTAGATGCCCGCCAAGGATGTGGTTTGTACTGTTTACTGGGTTCTACAATGTGTCTTGGGGGCTGAGGTGGCTCAAGTGGTTAAGACGCTCAACTGCAGACCGGAAGGTCGGTAGTCCAGCAGTACAAGACCCAAGTGTGCCGCATGACGGAGTGAGCTCCCGTCTCTGGTCCCAGCTCCTGCCAACCTAGCAGTTCGAAAGCAAGAAATTGCAAACAGATAAATAGGTACCACTTCGGTAGGAAGGTAACAGCATTCCGTGCGCCTCGGCATCTAGTCATGCTAGCCACATGACCACGGAAATGTCTTTGGATAGCGCTGGCTCTTCAGCTTGGAAACGGAGATGAGCACCACATCCCTAGAGTCAGATTTGACTGGCTTTCAAGCAAGGGAAACCTTTACCTTTACCTATAATGTGTCTTACTGAAGTCTGAAATTCTATTGTATTTTTGTAAGCTGCTTTGGGCCCCCACAGGGGAGAAAAGCGTGATAAAAATTCATTAGATATGCAACTTAAAAGCTACCTTAAAAACGCCATGGCTGAGAGTTGGCGTCACATGAGATACTGTACATGAGATTCTGTACAAATATTCTACATTCCTTGATAGAATATTTTTTGGCAAGCGAATGGGCTTGCACCGTAGTGCTTAAGGCTCACATTCTCACTGACTGTCAAACCGATATGAAAGCTGGTGCAATGAAGACTAAGCCAAACATTTCCCTCAGCACTTCGACAAAAACACCAATCGTTCTGATCTGGACTTAAAGAAGGTGGAGGAATAATAATGTGGCGAGGCCAGGGTGGGCCTTCTATTGGAGTAGATAGTTTATTGAACATCCAGCAGGGCTCTTACTTCCGTATGTGCCAGACCAGAGTCCACAACAACGAAAACTGTTCTGGGATAACCAGATAAAATTAAGCCCTGCCTCAGCTCTTTCCAGGATTGTCTGAATCTGTGACGGGCAAGACGGGCAACAAGC